ACCTTTGCATTATGAGGCAGCGTATATACGCACTGTGGTATTCCGACCTCCGTGATATTTCAATTATTTCAATGCTATTCGAACGGGATATCCATCGCTGGCGCGCGCTTATCTTTGCAACGGATCCATCGAGGTAGAGTGAAGCGAGAGATGCATTCCAGAGATAAGAATATAATGAAACCTGACGGGAGATATACTGAAACTGGCAGGGAAACTCTGGAGATTCTACTTCGGGCTCATCTGCCAGATCCGGTTGAAATTGAAAACGATAATCTACCAGACCCACTAAACCCTCACATGAGGGCTGCTGTTGGGGACTGGCGGGTATCGAAGAAGATTGTTGACCACAGTAAACTGCTGTGGGTCATAGAAACTCTTGAATCCTACAAGGCGCCGGGACCGGACGGAATTATCCCTGCAATGCTACAGCAGGGTAAGGACCAGCTGGCTCCGTTTATTTGTGGGATATTGAGAGCAAGCCTGGCAACGGGGTACATTCCGGTTGCATGGAAGAGAGCGAGGATCGTCTTCATCCCAAAGCCTGGAAGAGATTACTCTCAGGCTAAGGCGTTCAGGCCGATAACACTATCATCATTCATGTTGAAGGTGATGGAGAAGTTAATTGAAATGCATATCAGGGAAAACTTTCTCATTGAAAGGCCACTACATAAAAACCAGCATGCATATCAATCGGGAAAATCCTGTGAAACGGCACTTCATCAACTGGTGGGGAAACTTGAGGCCGCAATAAGCAACAAGAGCATAGCTCTTGCGGCTTTCCTGGATATTGAAGGGGCATTCGACCACACACCCTTCATATCCATGGAGCAGCGGTTGTTGAGCGTGGCGTGGAAGACACCACATGTCGGTGGATAAAAAACATGCTACACAACAGAACAGCGGAATCCACATTGCTTGGTGAAACCATGGAGGTGACGATTTCTAGGGGTTGCCCACAGGGAGGAGTTCTTTCTCCCCTGCTGTGGGATCTGGTTATTGATGAACTCCTGAAAAAACTAAACAATGTAGGAATTTACTCACAGGGGTATGCAGATGATGTTGTCATTCTAGTAGAGGGGCAGCATCCTGAAATTATTTCAGACTTGATGCAGAGAGCCCTGAAGATAGTAGAGGGCTGGTGCAGAAAGGCAGACCTCAGGGTCAATCCTAGTAAAACTGCACTTGTGGCCTTCACGAAAAAGAAGAAACTGGACAAACTAAAAGTTCCTAGACTTTTTGATACACAGCTAAGTATGACACAGGAGGTTAAGTATCTGGGAGTAACCCTAGATGCTAGGCTAACCTGGAATACTCAACTGCGAAAAACTGTCAGCAAAGGCAAAATGGCACTAATGGCTTCTCGGAGAGCGATTGGTAACACATGGGGACTGAAACCACGCATGGTACATTGGCTGTATACTGCTGTGGTGAGACCAATGATTGTATATGGATCGCTTGTCTGGTGGCCTAAGACTGAACAGAGATCAGCTATAATGGAGCTTTCAAAACTCCAGAGATTAGCTTGTCTCTACATCACAGGTGCTATGCGCAGCACTCCTACCGCTGCTATGGAAACCATACTCAATATTCCACCTCTTGAAATCTTCATCAGGGCGGAAGCGAGGATGGCGGCATACAGACTGGAGTGTACCGGCAACTGGTATGCTCGGGGTGACTCCCTGGGACATACAAAAAAATAATCAGCCAAGTTTCAAGCCCACTAATGGATATGGGAAGGGACAAAATGCTGCCTAGAAATAACTATTACAGACCCTTCAACACTCAGCTCTACTGGGATGAAAGGGTCTTGACTAACTGTCAGGAAGGCACGTTAGTATGGTACACTGACGGTTCTAAGACTGATGAGGGCACGGGAGCCGGAATATATGGAGATAGACCCAGAACCAGGATGTGTGCTTCCTTGGGGAGGTATGCTTCAGTATTCCAGGCAGAGGTGCATGCTATTGAGGCATGCCTGAGAGAGAATATAGTAAGAGGATACAGAGGTAAACAAATCCTCATATGCTCAGATAGTCAGGCGGCCATTCAATCTCTAACATGCAATAAAATCATATCAAAATTGGTCTGGGATTGCCTTCAAAGCCTGCTAACCCTGGCTAACCACAACAAGGTAACTCTTCAATGGGTGCCAGGGCATAAGGGAATTGAAGGCAATGAAGCAGCTGACGCTCTTGCCCGGCAGGGGTCTGCGACGTTGTTCATGGGGCCGGAACCTGTGTTCGGTATCCCCAAAACCTCAATACGCGGCTGGCTGGCAAGGTGGATGCAAGAAAGACATCAGGCATACTGGAACAATGTCCCAGGACAAAGACACAGTAAACTGATGGTTTGAACACTGTCCAAAACAGTGACTAACGACATTCTGAGCCAAAACAGAAGTCAGATCAAACAAGTGACGGGACTAATAACCGGTCACTGCCCCTTGAGGAAACATATGCATCAAATGGGCATCTATACAGACTAACCCATATGCAGACTATGCAATGAGGAGGAGGAAACTGCCACCCATGTAATACTGGAGTGCGAAGCACTAGCGCGTTGGTGATACAACCTTCTGGGAGCAGTAAACTCTCAAGAGGCATTTTCAAAGAATGATCTGGTGAAGAGGCTGCTAAACCTCATCAAGGTAGCGAACCTGTTTACCTGAGTCAACAGCATGATCAGGAATACAATAGGCCCAAAGGCTGCAGTGTTTTGGGCTTCAAACCCTGACTGATCATTCTGCCATTAATCAATCAATCAATCAATCAAGAGATAAGAAACTTCGAGTCGAAAATAATATCCATCGCTGGCGCGCACTTATCTTTGCAACGGATCTATCGAGGTAGAGTAAGGCTCGAGCGCTTGGCGCTGCAACGTTGTCGGACGTATGTGTTTGGATGTTAATATTGTTACATTATTGTGTGTGGCAACGCTGTCTCGCTTCATGGCGTTCGAAGATCCAGCAAAGCGAGAGATCCCGTAGAATGATAAGCGCGCGCTCGTATTGGAAACGAATACTTGGATAATTTATTTATTTTAAAGTGGGTGACGTCATGCCGTTACCTTCATGGCGTTCGAAGTTCCAGCAAAGCGAGAGATCCCTTGGAATGATAAGCGCGCGCTCGTATACCCATTCCTCAAACTATGACTTCAATGACAATAACAAGATTGAATTCTCATATACAGAGCGTTTGAGTTGATTGAAAATTTATAAAAAAATATATACAGAGCGTCCCACGGTTCGCGGTCCCATGTTTTAGCATGGAAGAAGTGTTTGAGTTGAAAGAAATATATACAGGGTGTTTGAGTTGATGAAGATTGAAGAAAAAAATATATACAGGGCAGCCCATGGGGGTAAAAGAATACGAAAACGAAGATAAATAATCTATTCATTTAAGTAATCCTTTTCTACAAAAATTACATGCCTCTTGAGAAGATGGCGGTCCATCCCAGTGTGTGGTCCAATCGGGACGATTATAATGACAAAGCATGGCAGTTTGATTTGTAGGTTGAAGTTGCTGTGATATTCTTGAGGAAGTTTGTGCCACACCCTTAATAGCCCATAAGGATCTGCATATTCAATGAGACATTCTACTAGAATTCTTGTTCAGTGAATTTTAGCAGAGTGGTAACAGGAGATTTCAGGAACTCTAAGAGCACAGCTATTTCAGATTTATAACAGAGTGTCTCAATACTGGAGAGTGGATTGCTTTCAATATCAATAGAACGTGGGAAAGTTTTGAAGAGCGAAAATTTCGCTATAATCGACACCAAGCATTGTGTGTCGAGAAATGTGGGAAATTCTTGAATAAAACTAACCTATACCACCATATGAGGAATGCCCATAGAGTGAACGCCACCAATTCGAATAACCTAGCTGATTAGCGGATGGCAGTTAATGGATTCAGAAGTCTTCAGATCACACCTATAGAAGAATTCAGAGGTATTCGGAGGTCTTCAGATCATGCCTTCAGATGTCTTCAGATGTCTTCAGAGGTATTCAGAGGTATTCAGAGGTCTTCAGATCACGCCTTCAGAGGTATTCAGATGTCTTCAGAGGTATTCAGATGTCTTCAGAGGTATTCAGATGTCTTCAGAGGTATTCAAGAGTCTTCAGTTGTATATCAGACACCATAGCGTTCACATCATGGAGTCTAAACCACATTCATCAGAGCAAGCATAAGATAAATATCACTGTGCATATTATGATAATGCTTATGGATCGAAATATGTTGACGGCAGATGGACACTTGGACATAAGAATCAACGCTTTGAGGACCAATACATAGGCGTAGATAATGTCGATTTTAAAAGTACTATGGGTCCTTTGGAATTATTATTTTCCAAGAACCCTCGAAATTACACGCCTCTGGATCACCAGATGTATAAACAGATGCTAGAAATCAGCTCTATTCATAGAGATCAATTAGGGCGATTACGAGGACAAGCTGATGAGGAGAAATTCGATGAAATTATCAGACCCCTCTTCAAAAATAAAAGCCTAAACGTCCAAAGTCGAGCGTGGAGCCTGAAGCCAGTATTGGGAATGAAGAGTACAATATTTTAGATAAATGGACAGATCCGAATATCTTGGTGGATAGACTGAGATATTCAATGGAATCAGATAAGAACAACAACGAGATCGCCTTTATTCTTACTGAACTTGAAAATGTTGGTATAATATCTAAAAATAAATGATGTCAAAATTATCCGTTTTTTATTCAACACCTGGTATGCGAGTAGAATCACAATGACTACTCAACTTGGCATACAGAAATATATATTTAAAAACTCTGTATAATGACTGGTAGGTAGTGTGATGGAATCATTGACCGTTAATTGTGGTCTATAACTCAGCTGATTTAATCATCTTTCTAGGCTTTGAAAGAATATGATTTTCTGTATACGCCAAATATAGAACAACCAAGATAACGGCATCCTGATTCAACGCTGCAACTTGAACAACTATTTACACCTAAAACTCATATAACAGCTCAATGCTTCCAAAAATGGGTATTGAAAGGTGTAAATTGTTATATATGGAAACAGACAGCTTTATATATGAATTGAAATGTGATGATGCATATGAAGAAGTTATGAAGGCTGATCTCTCTCAATTTGACACATCTGAATATGCTCCAGATAATAAATATAATATGCCACTAGTCAATAAAAAAAAGTTGGGTTCATTAAAAGATGAAGCAAATGGGAAAATCGTTACTAATTTCGTAGGACTACGTTCGAAAATGTATGCATATAAAGTACAAGTAAGGTTGTCAAAAAATCGAAAGGGGTGTAAACTAATGTTGTCAAGAATAGAATTGGGTTCGAAGATTATTTGAATTGTTTGAAGAATTTCAGAGTACAACGTACTATCCGTTCATATGCCCACAATGTGTTTAGCATTCAACAATCAAAAATTGCTCTGAGTCCCAAAGATGATAAACGGTATTTGATTCTAGGTTCGTTTAACACATTGCCATGGGTCATACACAGGCAAAAGAGTAATTTTTTCATGTAAATCAACTCATCAAACATTTATAAAGAAAAAAAACCCATACACCTACACTTACACTCCTCTGTTTTAGATTCAGAATTATTATTTGGGCTTAAAGAACGATATGAATGTGATATGAATTTACATGATTCACATTATCATTATGAGAGATTCATCGATTCTGGTGATGAACATACAGATATTGATTCTTTACTTACTTCAACAATATGTTACAGATTTTAGTAGCATGATATTATCTTCACAAATGTAGTTTGCGAAAGAAGACAATGAAAAATGCCTTTTTTTCAGAATATGTTTTTTCTTATGAAAATGTAATACTTGTCCTGGCTATAAATGTAAATATAATATATGCTGCCTATCTATCATCAATAAAATAATTATTGAAATTTTCTGTGTATCATTGGGATGGGTAGTGAGTGTAAGAGAGAGTGAGAGGGTAAAAAAGTGAGAAGAAGAGAGAGAGAGGGAGAGAGAGATTGGATGGATATTAGTTGAAGGCATGGATGTAAAAAACAGTTGTATCATGTCTTCTGACGAATACAGACGTGCACTAGAAGAATTTGGGTTGAAAGTTAGAAAGCTCAGTGCAGACATCCAATTGTATGAGCAGAAAGTTTGTTTGTTCAAAGATTTCGAGCAATTGAGTATTTGGGACAAGGTGTTCACAGAACCAAGACGTTCAGTTGCAACGTTTCCTACATCGAGAAAAATCCAACCAACACAGCTACTAGATGGCGATACTGAAAGCAAGCTTCATTCTATTGACAGCTCTGAGCAACAACGTCTTCTACACAAACATACCATATGATACGAGGAATGCAGGCATATGTTTTGATATGAATCGTACACAACAATGTGATTGGAAGATGATGAAAAGGATGCATGTCAATGATAACAAAGTACCTGTATATTCAATCGACATGCCTCGAGTCAATGGGACCACCATCGACTACAAATTGAAATTATTGTTTTCTGATGGCAGTGACGGCAAAACTGGGGACTGGCAGACATTAACATTGAAGAAATCACCCGCAAAATTAGATAATGATCAAGATTCTGTCAATATCATTGCAATTTTGACACTTTGTTGTACACTAATATGTTCACTCATTTTAATCTCACATGTTATTTTCATTATACTGAGAAAAAAGGGATGTGATAAATAAAAACTCTGAAATTATTATAAAGTTTTTTATTTTGGCAATAAATTACATAATCAATTATATAAAGTATCGACATTGTGGAGACTGCACTGGAACCTTCCTCCATGGAGATGATTCATGCAAGGTGGAATGGATTGTTGAAACGTTATTGGTTGCGACCAAGAATTGTCAAAATCTTCCAAATTAACAATGTGATTGGTCATCTCCAACTCTGCACATTCTCGCTGCAAAAACTGAATCTTTTGATGGCCTCTTACGTAGATGATGTTTGTCTGCTGCAGGTTATCTCGTAGTATTTGATCCAATTCATTCAAATCCACATAACCACAGGAATATTTTAAACCATGAACGTAACGCTCTACATGATTTGCCATATTTTTATCTTCTCTGCTTAAACTCGAAAATTCTACAGATGGCTTGAATAAAAAATGACTCGTCTTTTTGCCAATGCGAATGGTCATTTTCTTCGGAATGAGTTCACCATCAACCATGAACCCTTGAATGTCAACCAGTGCGATCTCGATGACTCTTCAAAGCAAACTGACGTCTGACTGATGCAGCAACACCTAACTAGGCAATATTTCGAACAATTTCGCTGAGTGGGAGATGTTCCATGATTTGATCGTGAATGATGATGCAATAGGCTTTGGTGTCGGGAGGGAAGCCTGTAGTCGCTTCAATGTCTAACTTTATGTCAACTGTAGACGACTTTAGACCCAGATAGCGCCTCGAGCAATCGATAACAAACATTGGTCGGGATTTGAATTCGGCAAAGTTTACTAGAGAGCGCTTTTCTTGACAGTTATGGTAGCTCTTGTTGAACTCTGTATAGTTGAAGTGAGCGTTAGCATATTGGTCTTTGGAAAAGTCCAATAGCATTCTTTCTTGCGGATAATAGTCGCTATTCAGAGCCAATCGCATGGATTTGATGTTGGCATTATCGAACAAGGTGACGTCTTCATGCAAATTATCGGCTTTTTTCGTTTGGAAAAATACTATAAAATATCTTGGACTGTCCAATGCAGAACATGTCTTGACGGACCAGATTCCTATGGTAGATCCTTGTGTGAGTGCTGGTAGCTCATGCAATTCCCATCGGCGAAACGGTATCATCATAGGCTCATCTGCTTTGATACGTGTCAGCAGCTGCAACTTTATGTCATCGTTGGGTGTGAGATGTGGCACTTTCAAATTGATGCTTTCTATCGTTATTTCAGCAATACTCTGAGTCTGAGGAGATTCTTGCAAAGCAGTATTCGCTCTCTCGACAACCTTCACACTATTGGCATCATTGCGAGCTCTCACTAAACGGATTGACTGCTTGCCCCACGTTGCCACTTGATGATCATTGAAGATGGAAAACAAATGTTTCAGTGAAATGTTCATGCTAAACGTACCATCGGTGTTGAGGATCGGAGCATTGGGATAGTTCCAGCCTGCTATGGCTAGATGACGTGAGTCTTCAGGTGTATAACACAAGTATCCTCGCACAGTACTCGTTATTCCAGGATATCTGACAGTGTCCAATTCTTTATTACACAATTCATAGGTGCAGGAATCAAAGAGATAGGCTCCAGCATTGTGGGTTAATGTACCAGTACCACCACCGGTCACCTGCAATTTACCCTTGATGGTAATGATGCCTTCAAACATGGCCAACCACGAATCTGCTTGATTAACCGTTATATCGATGACATCATTGTTCTCGAATGATTTCACATATGGATAATAGGTACGCCATTCCACTTTAGTGATGCTTTCGTCGAATCTGGGTTTGAGGAAAACGTCGAACACGGGTGCTAACAACATTGTAGTCTTTGAGTGATTTCAGAAACAGGACACTGAATAATGTCAATGTTTTTCTGTTGCTGCTCTTCGAAGACACGACTGCTTTGGTGTACGGTGTCGAGAGAACTGGTGCCGATGATGTTGCTGATGATGGTATATTATCTGATTTATAGGAGTAATCAAACACTAGTACCATCTTGCGAGTTTCTTCAATTCCAATCTTATAATGATTTCTTCACCTCTGAAATTCACCTCTCTGAAATCTTGGTCTAGAATCAGGAGTGTAATGTTGGGCAATTCCCGCCTGCTGACTATAGGTAGATAGATTAGATTTCTGGGAGTCTCGTCTATGGCGTAACCAGGATCGACTGCAACTGCAAACTCGTAGATCGTATGTGATGGTCTATCGTTGTAGAGAGCTCCAGCAGTAACGTTGCTATCAATGTGAATGGTTCTTACTTTGGTTATGCTGACCGGTAAATCGGAAGTGTGAACTTGTTGTGAGTTCAATAATCTATTTGAAAATCCCAAGACTTGAGCTATGCTATCCTTCGGGCGAAAATCAATGGCAAACTGTTTGCTTGAAATCTCGCACTTTGACGTATTATTGTTGGGTTTCAACGAACATATCTCATCAACGTCCTTTGCACTCGATATACCCAATTCTTTTCGAATAAATGTTTCAATGTCCACAATGTCGTATGAACCTTCGGGAATAACGATGATCTTTCCCGCCTTGGTCTTATCTTGCAGATAAAACTTTGATCCTTTGTCGATATTTGGTATACTGTTGTATGAATGGAATCCCAACAATGCTAGTCCGTAATCAGAGTCTGGATCAAGTTGGAAAGGTGTCAAAAAGTCTATGGAGAGCGTAGATGTACGACCTTCCAACGTCACAATCAGAGACATGACTGATGCACAATGACCAAGTTACTTGGTCTCATTAAAAATGGATTCTAAACATAGACGTCCACAATTACTTTGATTGAAATTTTGGTAATGATTGTTATTGTACAAGATTTTCGTGCTGGCACCCAAATATTGCGCCAATTCTCTGGGCGGTTTCAGATTACCATAACTATCGAAATATAAGGCTTTTTTATCATTTTTTATGTAAGCCACCCAATGAGTGCCCGCATGATTGGAGGTATCCAAATTCAATACAGCACACTCGCGATGCCATGGACCGGTGGAAGGTAGAGTGTCCCGCATAAAAACATCTCGAAAATATGGTATTTTCAGCTGTTTGGCATACTTCATCACATCTTTATCGTACATTGATTTATTGGGTAGCTTGTCTAGAAGTTTTTTGAGTTTTTTGATTGTTTCTTCAAGTACAGTCCGAATCCTCTCGATGTTTTGCGTAGAAATAGGCCGGAACCCTGCTTGCCGATAGCCTCCATTGCTTTATTATGCCTTTGATCTTCTTCGAGCTTTTTCTTTGCTTTTTTCGCATCAATGACTGTCTTTGCGACTGCTCCGGCTCCTCCAGCTAGAGATTCTAGGGCTCCCAAGGCGGCAAAGATTGGTATCAATGGTAGTATACCGCCACTGTGTGGAAGAGGTATGATTCTTGGTACTCTGATTCTTTTTTTACCGCCAGCCCTCTCGATTGCCATTCTGGCTGCATGGAGCGCTTCCAATGCAGATTTATTCAGACCACTTCCTGATGTTGTACTACCACCACCACCACCACCACCATCTGACTTTGATAGTACATTTTTTATGAATTTGATAATGTTGGATAGGGATTGCTGTGATACAAGACCCATGCCAAGTTTTCGTTTGACCTTCATTCCGGTGGTGACAAGCCAAGCAGCAGCCTCCTCTTTGAATTTAGCGTTCTTCGACTTGACTCTCTCCCACGCTCTATTTTTCAATATCCAATCAGCTTTGTGTCTGTCTTCTATTGAGGAATTTTGTGAATAGGCGATATCGTGATCTCGACACGCGTCGTCCAACAGTTTGAAACCGGTGTCTCCTCTTGCAAGTCTTTTATCGAGTTTGGTACCTGGACCACAAAATCTGTAGCCTGGAATGTGTAATTCG